TTCAGTATGGGAAGTTTTTGACTCTCATCAGAAATGCCATTGCTGAACGACCACCAGCTATTTGATTTTAAGTTCAATGATACTAATTTTCCGACGGTACATACCTCTGACTGCTGAGTCTGACCCTCTCTACAACACTGTTAGATACAATCGTGAAAAAGGTGACCTTTGAATGTCATTCCCAGAGAGCTTATCGATTCCTTCATGTATTATTCTTCTAGGTAGCTATGTCAGACATCAAGTTGTCTAAACAACAATCATTGCAGACCATTAGGTTAGTTGAGAAAATTCTAAGCTATCTTCGGACTCGATCGTATTACATCATGTTCGTCACGCTCACCACCTATTAGCGTACTACTTAAAATTCCTCTTAATTAGTATGTGTACCGCTTAAGCGATACTGCCTTTCTTACCTTCACTGTTAAGCACCAAGTAGCCAGGTTCTTCTCCAATAGAGGTTCTCATCTTCCTTTGATTCCATCAAACTCAAAGGTGGAGTATTTTCATACATCTAGACGACATTACTTCCTGTCACAAACGCTTCTACCAGACCGCCGGAACACATATCGCAAAGGGAACTCTAATCCCGATACAATTGTACTTGAGAACGCTTTCATGTAGGTGGACAGAGATATTGAGAGACCTCTGTGATGTAAACTCAGTGCAAAGTAGCAAGAGTGTGCTTGCGTTAGATTTTAAGTTTGGTATTGATGGGTATGCGGCCACAGTTGTAGGACTATTTCCAATTCCTACTCTTGAATCCTCCTCGTGCACTCTAGAAACGTGAGCACCTCTTGTGCGAGATAGCAAGAGAGTGAGTTTTATAAGAACCACTCTGATATATACAGTTCAAGGGTTCACTAGAGACTTACTACCGCTTCTGTTCAGCGGAGGTGCGTTTGCGAGCGGTCGACAGTCTTGAGGCAAGCGATTGGCTATATAAATGTGTTTTCAAATATAACTGCCCAAGTAGCAAAGTTGTGCATTGGGTTCCTAAAATCGACTCGTCGGATATGCATTTATTGTACCTTAACCCAATCATATTATAAATTATATGTCAGCTTAGCGCAGCTCATGGCTTCTCCAGGTAGGTGGCTCAGTGCGTCAGGGTGCGGTGTGAGAACACACACAAGAAGTTCGGCTAAAGGTTTTCAGAGTACAGAGAGTACTTCTCGTCTAAGTTAGCATTTTTCTACAGGTGCCTCATTTCGGTCTCATTTTGACTCTCTGCTAGACCACCAAAGAGATAAAAGAGATATTAAATGTGCTCTTTAGTAATACCCAGTTAAGATTAGTACATCTCAATGGAATTACAAAATTCATTTGGGGTCTTCTCACTGTTGTAGGCAGACTCAGTTTGAAAATCAATACTCTAATCAGGCAGTCAGAAGAATATTGTAAAGGGTGTATTTTGTGAGCCGACAACTTCAATACTTTTATTTAAAGACTTGAACCATCTATAAGAACTTTAACACTTTGCATTCAAAGCAACAAGTTTGCACTTCTGGCGTATTCTGAGCCATTTCAGCACGAAACTACTCACATTATGGTGCTTTCGAAGTCTGGCAACACCTGTTTTGAATCCCACAAGCTTACAAGTCATTGCTACAATTGTAACCAACTTGTGCCACGCATAAATCCGCAATGAATGGAATCATAGACAATGATATATGTATATTATTGTATGTATGTACGTAACCAACACTCTCATTAATGCTGGCAAAAAGCGTTGATTAGCAACACTTTCGGAACAAAATGTACAAACATGAGGAAGATGGAAAAATCACAGTCCATAAACATGTAAATAATAGAAAAAATAGTGCGGATGTGAGTAAATAACATGAAAGCAAAGAGGCAAAGAGTGCGTAGTATCAAGGCAAAGTGGAGTATGCTGACACATGTTGCCAATAATTATTGCGTATATGTTGCAGCAACCAATTTTGTTGCAAATGCATACACTTGTTGCAAATAATATATGCCAAGTGCGCGAGTTTCGCAGCGTTAAAACAAGAACAACAAAAAAAAACAAGAATTAAAAAAAAATAAAACCGACTGTATGTTTCTCATTTCCTAATAACCGTGTTTTCTTGGTTTCAGACATGATTTATTAGGCAAATTTCTAAAATCTTGTAGATTTGAACCAAAGACATTGTTACAACATTTCAAAATGTCAAATGGAATGAAATGAAATGATAAATTATATATTGCGTTTGCCATAAAAGCTAAGAAGGAAAAGGCCATAAGCAGCGAGCTTGGAACGCTTTTAAAGAAAAAAATTAGCTGAAAGTAGACAAAAACAAAATCAAAAAAGCCAAAATTAACTCAAACAAAAAATAATTAAAATAAAAAAAATTAAATAAATAACAAAAAAATTCAAAAGAAAAAATTGAAGATGTCACTAAAAAGAGGTAAAAAATGATTTGCGTTTTGCAGATCGATTAATCAAGATCAGCCAAAAAAAAAAAGAAAAAAAAAAACGTGCAAAAAATATAACTCAGATTAACCGAAATGGTCAACCGCATTTGCTAATTAAAAAAATAATTTCAAAACTTTGGTTCCTTTTATTAATTATATATAATTTGCTTATGTTGATATGTGAGTATATATATGTATAAGTCAAAGAAGAAATTAATTGTTGCTAAAACAGGTAAATTTTCTATTTTATCTTTTCCATTTTTTTAAAGTATAATGGGAAAGAGGGAATCGTCATATTTATTTCGCTAAGGCGGCCGCGGTAGCCGAGTTGTAGGTTTGACTTTAACACTTGAAAAAAGGTGCGCCAATGTTGACAGTAGAACTCGTAACGGGATCAACCGAAGTGAATAAAATGTAAAACGTATTTTAGTATATATCGTATTATAGTATAAAGCGTATTATAGTTAATATCGTAAATATGAATTTGGAGGAAAGAAAATTAAAAATAGATTTTTAGCAGATTTTTTTTTTACAAAAAAAAAACCAAAATTTTGGAAAAAGTATTCCGACATTTATTTTCATTTTTAATTCTTGTGTTTAAATAAAATCCTCAGTCTAATTGCTCGTGATTTGTAACTCGAAGTCCTGTATAAAATTTAATTAAGATCGGCTTAGTAGCATTCGAGAGGGAGTATAAAGTCTTAAGCGCTGAGCCTATCTCCTTTCAAGCGCGTCAAGGTCTTAGCTCCGAAACTCTTATTCGAATCGACTTGACAATATATAGTCTCGCGATGTTAAGAAAAAATCGATTTTTTTGAAGCTAGGAAACCCTTAATACGAAATTTTACACTTTTAATGGTTTTTTGACGCCGTTTTCACTAAAGCCTTAGGTCGGAAAAAATCGATAGATAGGTTGTAATCGTTTATATATATACTCCGATAAACGATCACTTAAATATGCAACTGAGCATGAACTTTAGTTGGAATATCTCAAAAACTGAGGGACTAATTTGGGTATAACCAAACGGAGATGGCTAAACACACTCAACTTTGACCTGATTGGTGTACATTCTAAAGCGTCTCTCTCTCTCTTCTTTCTAGTACATACATACTTCGGATGAAAATTAATAAACCATTTCATGTACATGAAACTACGGCGTACTCAATCAGGATCAAACCTAACCTGGATATTGATATTCAAAGCCTACTGACTATATGAATGAAACAATGCTCAGAGTTGCTTTATTATGGTGAAAATCCTGGAAAAGCCCAAATCATCTTTAAAACATCAGATGGAGTCCTCCATTTAGTTGGAAAAATTACTTGAAGAAGGACCTGGCTACACTTAATATCACCCCATTGAAAGAAGAAACTACGTCCTCTTTTGTCTATTAGCCGATCATTCATCAGCATCATACTCAAAGCTGTCATCGATGATGCTCGACTAAAGAAGAAACAACTCAGAGATATGATTGGTCAGCGCAAGTTGGGTTCCGAGAATGTTCATGCCTCCTCCGAAAACCTGCCGCGTGTAGAGTGTTCACCTGCATTTTGGGAGCTCTGTAATGAAGAGAAGGATTATGTATTGAGTCGAATTGTTACTGAAGACGAAATTTGTGCTCATCATAATGAACCTGAGTCGAAACAAGACTCCAAGCAGTGACCTTAAAAGGGTGCAGCACCTCACGAGAAGTTTAAGGTGTTACATTCAGCTAGAAAACCCTTGGCAACGGTCCTCTTCGTGGTACTTTGATGGAATATTATTGTTGTATTGGATCATAACGATAAAGGTGTTTCTATAACTGAGGAATGCTATGCTACAATATTAGAGCGACTAAAAGAAGTCGTTAAAGCGAAAAGACGGTGAAAATTGTCGAAAGGGGTACAGCTTATGTACCACAGGCTTCGATACTATCAATCACCCACTATACAGCTCAGACCTCGCTCCGAGTGATTATTACCTATGCATTTCCAAAAAATTAAAAAAAAAGCGAGGTGAGGGGTAAGCGGGTAAACAGTTTATCAACGACGATGATTATTATTTATTTATTACGCCTGCGCTTAAGGGGTTCAAGAATTTACCCACGGTAAGGCATGCCTGTCGTAAGAGGCGACTAAAATAGTTCCCGCAATAGACGGGTCCTTATACCGGAAGGACCCGGATTTCTTATCCGGTCAAGGACTGCCGCTCCTGCAATATTCCCTTAACACTAATTTGAGAAATATTTTTGTGTTAACAACATTAATTATTTATTTGATTTTATTGCAAAAAAAAAATTATTAAACAAAAATGAAAACGATAATAATCAAGACATAAAAAATTTTAAATTACCTAACAATGTACATACTCGTATGTATGGCATATATACTTGGTTATATACATATATCAGCTATTTAGCCTTAAGATCAACGGTAATATAAGATAACAATTTTTACTATATTTCAGGTGTACAACTTTGCTTCCGCCGTTTTCCGATAGGTGGCTGTACCGGCTGAGGCTGGTTGAAATACATAGATNAAAAAACGGCGGAAGCAAAGTTGTACACCTGATATTATATATAGATAACAAAATCTTTACCCTTTGATATATATGTATATATTATTCTGGTGCTGAAACTTACCCACTTAGAAGAAGAAGAAGAGCAGTTATACAAAAACTATGTATACGTACCTGTAACAAAGAGAAAAAGGGAACAAATTATTTGGAATTTTTAAACAAAAAAAAAATTAGTTAGACGGAATTTTGGCATTGCAAATTAATACTTAATACATACATATGTACATATATGCAAATACAAAATGAATTCAGTTAAATATAAACGAGATTTTTAGTTTAACACACTACATATATGTACATACATACACTACGAATTAGCAATTTTTGATTTGCATGAAAATGAATCGATGAATATATACATATATATGCATTTAGATACATACATAAGCATGTGTATAAATTATCACTAAGCGGAAAGATTGAGGCGTGGGAAAGTTTATTTCTCTCAGACTGCGCTAAACATACATAAAAATGTATTCAAATATGCATGTACGAGTTTTATAGAAAAAAAATAAAATTTAAAATTCATTAATATTTAAATTTGCACAGACATAAGTATATACATATATGTATATGTATATTATATACGATTATATGAAATTGCTCGTGTGGCTCATGCTTGCTTTTGGCTGATTTCCGCTTTTTTTTTTGCCTATATAGCGATATACATACATATATACATACATATGTATGTACGTAAAACTTGTTAATTTGTTTAGTGATAAAATTGAAAGAAAACAGAAAAACAACAACAATAAATTTGCATTATTTATAATGAAATAAATCCAAAATTTGAGTCTTCAATTCGACAGCATAATAAATAACAATGAATATACATAAATTAATAATTAACGGTACTGCATATGGAGAAAAAAATAGCATTTATTTCAATCATTTTAGTATCTACATAATAAAAATAAATAATAAAAATTATCGATGAAACGATATTGCGCCACACTGCAGGCTGGGCAGTGGCAGATTTAATGCTCCACCGACTTCTCCTCTCCTCGTCTATGCTCGTGCAGCTGCGTCAGGAGTCAGTAAAGAAGTAGCTTACTCAATCACCAGCAGTTCTTAAGAGAAAGTGTCCAGTTACCGGTTATTATGTTCAAGGAGGTTTTATTTAGTAGATGAAGAGACTTTTCCTATCTTCGATCATTGGCCACATCTGTCTGGTTGTATTGCCTTTGATTTACCTTCAGCTACTTGTGTAGGCCAATCTTAGCAAGTATTTTTCTGAGCAAAGTGGTATGCCCATGTAGTGTATAGAATTTACCATGAATAGGATTATACTCCCTCTAAGTAGCTGGTCGGCCTTACATTTCCTTCTAATGTGGGATTCAGTTGCATCCTCAGTATATGAATTACATCTAAAAAACCTAAAAACCTCTAAAACCTGTCGACGAGCGAGTTGAACCTTATCAGAAACACTCTTGCAAAGAGGTTTTACCTTGGACGGAGAAGGCAATTGAAAAGTAAATTCCTCTCTGGACGAACTTAAGTGTGAACTGTATATTTACAAGTCGCTCGAAATTCCCGTCATGCTGTATTTATTAGAAGCGCGGACGAGGATTGCATCCTCAATTCGGTACTAGGGGCTTTGGAGATAGTTTTTCGCTGAAGATTTATAATGCTTCGCTCAGAGAAAATGACGACTACCGCAGACGATGAAATGGTCGCTATACGGCGACGTTGACAGCACCTCAGCTCTAAAAGTATTCGACAATGTGCCCAGCAGTGAAAGCGGAAGAAGAGAACCCATCTACTCCGTGGCCTAGCTCAGGTGGAGAAAGACCTGGTTGCACTTTGTATCACCAATTTTGGCGCCGAATGGCAAAGAGAAGGAACGAATGGCGCGCTATTTTAACATGACTATAACCACGTAAGTGGTGCCTATGTTAGTCAAAAAGAAAAAATGGGAACCAGACGTGAGTTTGGAGTTTTATTACATCTCTTTGTAGTCCTCATGGCCAACCAATTGCTGATGTGGTTTGAGACTAAAGCAGCCACGTTTACAGCATACATAAATGACAATCCGATAAGCGTAAGCTATAAGTGTCAGCTAATTTAGTAAATAGCTTGGTCCAGCAAAACTCCTGACAATAATTCTTATGACAAGAATCCCAAATGATATTAACTAAATTCCGAAGTCTTCTATACACTTTTGGACTTCCATTATTAATGAAAAATTTTCTATTTAAAATATAATCTCAGTTATGTTTGCACTTTTTCGAGACTAATTAAGCACCGAACACATATTGGATCACATTCATAGGCCATTTATTTATCCTTACCTATTGGAACAAGGCTTAGTTATATGGAGTCCACACTATCGGTCTCTACTTACAAAAGTCTTTTACGGCTCATTAATCTGCAAACACTCCATAATCGTTGAAAGATGCTCGGAGTTTTATTTTAAACTGAAGAGATAAGAGATGCTATCAAGAGCCCATTTCAACTTAGCGAGCTTGACTTTACTCTCTTTAACCCTTTAGAGGGTCCTTCATGGAGTTCATGCAATACAAACTTTGAAAGGCAGGACTCATTCGGCTCTCTTTTCGACATCAAATACTACTTACTGACGACTTTAAATAAATCAGTAATTTCGTTCTTCTCATGTAATTTACAACAGCTGATAAGCGAATCTGTAGCAGCTTAGTTTAAGAGACTTTTAAGAGACTTTTCAAGGTAGTGCGGACTGTTAATGGTCGTTAGATTCTTCGGAGCCCCGTGAGGACTGTTGGGCAAGAGTTAAGTAATGTTGGTTTCGTCAAAAATATTACTAAACAAATTAAATATAGCAATAAGTACTTGGGATCCATGTTGGCAATTGTTGGCGGAAAACCGGTATGGAAAGACTGAGTGAATCAGCAGACGTGTAAAGAGCATTCGACGTCTTTTACTAGACCTCTTGCTTTGGAACTTCGTTGCTATTGCTAAGCCAATACTTTTTTATGAATTAAGGTTGTCAAATATCTCCCTTCCGCTTTTTTGGCTTTTGAATTTCGCGGCTATGTACAAAGCGCTACAGAGCTCGTATCTGGTAACACTATACATAATTTGAAAGGTCTTGACATAACCTACAAAACAACGCTATGGATGATTAGTTTGGACATTGCGTTATAGATGTATAAACATGGAGTTCACTAGCGCCCAAATTTGCGCTATTTTAAAGTTTTTCTTCGTTAAAGACAAATCCGCTAGAGAAACGTTCCGTGAGATTAATGGTGTTTTGGGGGATGGTACTCTATCACTTCGAACCGCGGAGGAATGGTTTCGACGATTCAGAACCGGTGAAAACGACACCATTGATAAGCCAGCCGGCGGAAGCCCTGTGACGACAAATACCGATCAAATCATGGAATACATCGAGTTAGACCGGTATATGGCATCTCGTGACATCGCCCAGGAGATGGGAGTTAGTTACCAAACCATTTTGAACCATCTGCAGAAGGCTGGAAACAAAAAAAAGTTTGATGTTTGGGTGCCGCATAATTTGACGCAAAAAAACCTTCTGGACCGTTATGCTGCTGAAACGGAACGAACTCGAACCATTCTTGAAGTGGATGGTGACTGGCGACGATACGCATATATTACATACGACAGCATCAAGCGAAAACGGTCGTGGTCGAAGGCCGGTGAATCGTCCCAAACAGTAGCCAAGCCGGGATTGACGGCCAGGAAGGTTTTGCTGTGTGTTTGGTGGGATTGGAAGGGAATCATCCACTATGAGCTGCTTAATTCTACCATCTACTGCGAACAACTGGACCGCTTGAAGCAGGCGATCGACCAGAAGCGTCCAGAATTGGCCAACAGGAAGGGTGTAGTGTTCCACCAGGACAACGCCAGACCGCACACTTCGTTGATGACTCGTCAGAAGCTACGGGAGCTCGGATGGGAGGTTTTATCGCATCCACCATATAGCCCGGACTTAGCGCCAAGTGATTACCACCTGTTCCTGTCTATGGCGAATGCCCTTGGTGGTGTGAAGTTGAACTCAAAAGAGGCTTGTGAAAAGTGACTGTCCGAATTCTTCGCAAATAAGGAGGGGGGCTTCTACGAGGAAGGTATTATGAAGTTGCTGTCTAGATGAAAACAGATCATCGAACAAAACGGCGCATATTTTAACTAAATCCGACTCTAAAATTTTTGCAAACCTCCATCCGATTGAGGTAATTTTCGAACACTTTTTGACACATATTGGGCGCTATCAAACCAACATTCGTCAAGTTATGGCTGAAACTTGCCGAATGTTAATTATGGCTGAAACTTGCCGAATGTTGGTTTTCAAGTGCTCAGGAGTTAAAGTCTGATCCACATAAAAAATATCCAACGTGTCAAATCGGCCAAATTAATTTTATAAATTATTATTTTTTTTGTATGTTGGTCCAACCAAGATTCGAACCCTGCCTTGCAAATGGCCGTACACTCTGCTAACCATACGTCGATTGCGGTCGCCAATTTGGGGAAAACCTGAAGAAAGTACAAGATATTTTAGAAACTGAAACCTCTGCATATTTTTACAGATGATTTTGAAATAAATGCGGAAAATACGGAAGTGAAGACTACAGTTTTCTGCGCCCAACTAGCAATAAGAAAGTCATTCCAAGTTTTTACTTCTATATTTCTATTACTTGATTGTAGAACAACTCACAAAAAAAAAAAATAAAAATAAAAAATAAATAAAAAATAAATAAAAATAATTTTAATTAGTAAAATATCAAAAATTTGTTATACGTTGAAATTGAGCTTTCATTGAGATTAAATTTTTTTGTTTGTTTTTTAAATGGAAATAAATATTAAAAAAATGCACATACATATATGTGCATTCGACAAGCCAAATATTAAATATTTTTCTGTTGTTATGCGCTCCACGAAAGTATTTTAAAATTCGCAATTAAATTAGAATTTAAAAGTAATTGAAACTGATAGCGGCTTTCTTAAAAGAATGCACACATTCGCCTCATACATATTCACTTCTATGGGTAATATGGGTATATACAAATGTACATACTCACTGATAAATGTACTTTTGTTTATTTATATAGAAATGTGCAGATGTGTGTATATACGAGTAGTAGAAGAAATATTTAATTTATTAAAATAATAAGCAA